GGCCAAGCCCTTTAGGCTGCACGCACTGCAAAGTCGGCAATTCAAGATAAGGACGCACAGCTGCCGGCACTGCTCGCAGAGGGGGTCCCAACAGGTGCCTTCGAGCCCCTGCCATCAAGCGGTCAATGGACCCCCGCACAGCCTGAATTGGAGTTCTCCCAGGACTTCAGCCCGGCGTCGCTCGAGCATTGCCGCGGCAACTGGTTCGCAGCAGAATCCAACCCCGCATTGCTCGCACAGCTCGTCCAGGATGAGGTCTCCAAAGGATTTGTTCGCAAATTCGACCGAGACGAATCCGCAGCAGCGCAGCACTGGCCCCTGGGCACCGCAGTGGGAAAGCTCAACATCGTCATGGCGGAAGGCAGGGACCCGCGCTTGGTCCTTGACAGCACCATCTGCGGACTCAACCCGGCAGTTCACCTGCCCGAGCACGTGGCACTGCCCACCGCATCTGACGTTCAGCGCAGTTTTCTCGCTGAAGACTGTTTTGCATCGCTCATCGCACTGTCTCTTGATTTCAAAGCAGCGCATAAATGTTGCAAAGTCAAAGCATCGGACCAAGGCACACTGCTTTTCAAAGTGGGCGGCGAGCTTTTCTTATCCTCAGATGCCTGCACGCATTGCTCTGCCACCATCCGCACAGAGCATGGCTGTATGTTGATGATCTTCTCGCCATGCTACGCAAAAGCGACTCTGCGGAAGCCGCGGCACTGATTGTGGCACTGCTCGCGGCACTGCACGCGCCGATCAGCTGGAAGAAAGCACAGTTCGCCACAGAAGTGATCTGGTGCGGCTGGAAATTCTGCACGTCGACAGAGACCGTGGAGCTTCGCCAAGCCAAGTTGCAAAAACTGCGTGAGCAACTTTGTGCACTGCAACAGCAAAGCAAGGTGGCCCGCAAAGCACTAGAAGCCGTCCTAGGCCTCTTAAACTGGGCTACCTCCCTAAGTAAGCACCTTAGACCCTTTATGGCCCCCCTTTATAAGGACCTCCATAGCGCCAAAGGCACCCTGCACAGCATCGCACCCTCCACATGGCAGGCTTTCTATGACGCACTAGACAGGCAAGCCAAGCTCGTACGCACCCCTTCAGGTAGCTGGTTACCTCGCAACGCACAGCTCTTAGAAGTTCGCAACATAAAAGTGCATAGCAAAGCCGATGTCCCAATGGTGCCACCCTCACACAAGCACCAGTGGGTCCGCTTAGCAGATCCACAGCGCTCCGAGATTCACTTGCGGCAAGAAAGCAAGTTCGTGTTGGCATGGCTGGCGCAATGCTTTGCCCATGAACAACCAAGGTCTCTGCGCACCGCACCGCGCTTGCGCTGTTACAGCGCAGCGGACGCCTTCGCCGATATCACACGCATGGGTATAGGCGGCTGGCTCAGCACCGCCAAGCATTTCATATGGTTCAGCGAAATTTTCACCGCTGACCAAATTCGCAAGCAATGGCCGCAGTTGCACGGCAGCATGCAACCATATATAGGCTGCTTTGAGACTTTAGCACAGCTTGCACTCGCACAGTGCAGCTGGCAATGCCTACGCAGCAAGCACGTGAAATTCGTGCTGCCATTCGCTACAGACAACACTAGCGCCGAGAGCGGCCTAAACAAGCTGTTCAGCACCGCTGAGCCTCTCAGCCTCTTTCTTCGGCTGGCAGCAACGTGGGCACACTTGCATCGCGTCCAATTTGAAGTGGAGCATCTTGCAGGAGAAAAGAGTGTGTGGGCTGACAAGCTCAGCCGGGATAACATCTCCTTCCTGTCGCACCGCAAGGCGGACCGCGTCCGCATCAGCCTCGCAGAGCTGGCTTCCGCATCGCATTGCGTCACGCTTCATGACACAGGCCACGCTTGGCCGGAAGCACTGCTTAAGGCACAGCATAGCATGCTGCGCTGAAAACTCGTTTTCGCGAACGAAGAAAGGAGCTTCCGCGTTTAGCTATAGACCTTTCCCTGCCTGTTTACACTTGACAGGTACTTTTGGCTCCCGCACCGGGGCCTGGCTACCTCACCGCGGTGGGGGGCTTATTGTCTTGCATTGAGGTTGCCAGGATGCACTAAAGAGGGGGAATACGGCATGGCATCGCTTGCCAGGTGCCCTCCTCTTCTGGCAAGCAAAGCCTTGCCTCGCACAACATCCTTCTTTAGCAACCTCTGCGAGAAAATGAAGTGACCGCGCTCAAGTGTTTGTCTTTCGGTAAGAACGCTTGTTGTTACTTCCTTTTCTTTTCTGAAGTATTCAACTGTGTTTTCTACTAAAAGCATAACCTTGAAACTTTGCTCCGCGCCGCACCGTTTCAAGGCTTGGTAGAAAACACGCATTGCATCGCATGCAAGACACGCTGGAGAAATTTTTCACCCACCCTCCGCGCCCTGGGGGAATACGGCACGGCATCGCTTGCCAGGTGCCCTCCTCTTCTGGCAAGCAAAGCCTTGCCTCGCACAGCATCCTTCTTTAGCAACCTCTGCGAGAAAATGAAGTGACTGCGCTCAAGTGTTTGTCTTTCGGTAGAGAACTAAGCTTTTCTCTCACATGTTGGCTGTTCTTGGGAAAGCTCCAACAGTCTTGTTGGGCAATTGCTAAGACATCTATATCTGCTTTTCAATTTTTTTCTGAAACTCGTACAGCGTGAATCGGCTCTTTTGGAAGTATTGACCGGAAGAGAGTGGAACACTTCCAGGTTCAGCAAAGCGGCTTCACTCGTTTTGGAGTTTCAGTTTTTGCCTCTTGTTGAATTCCAAAGACTGACAAGTCGGCTTAGGGCTTAGAGTTTAGGGTTTAGGGTTAGGTTTAAGGTTTAGGGTTAGCGTTTAGGGGACTTTTTGACTTGGTGGGTCTCAGACGTGTCCGTTCGTATAGATTAGACTTTGCGCATTCACTGGCAATCCCGCCGATTTGATTTCTCGTTTCCGTCAAAACGATTTAGACTGCTCCGTCGTGCGTTGAGAACACTCGTTTTGACTAACCGGGGTGATGTGTTAATTCGTTCAACAGGATCTGGAGACGGCCAAAATAAGGATAAGAAAAGCATGCATTCGCTTGTGGCTCATTTCCGTTACATTGTCTTCATTAAATTAAAGGCAACGAAAGGAGTCAGTGAGTGGTTCATTCTTCTCTTCTTTTCCACCTCCTTTTCCTTTCATCGCTTGTGGCTCGTCTCTTATTACACTGCACATGCCTTCCAATCCTACCGCTGTGTCCTAATAAATGACAAATGCTGCGTGAATTAGGATGAAGATAGAAATTAAATCAGCCACAATGTGAAGTAAATTATAATGGTATATCCGGAATGAGCTGTGTTTAATTGAATAGAAATGGAAAACATGGGGAACGGAATGTGTTTCTCTTCATAAAATTCAATGCAATGCATGGTTTGTTTTACATTTGTTTCGATGCATTGTGTTTAAATGAAGAGAATCCCTGAACAAGAAGACCCATTAATTGTAACCGTGTGTAACCTTCATGAGATTTACCACGTGTTTCAATTAAATGAAGCGCATGCGTGTTCTTTGCGTTTTACTTCACATTGAAATAATACACGCATGGTTTGTTTAACTGTTCCTCCTTTGCCACTACCATTAAAGGTTAAGGTAATACAAATATAGGAGTTCCTTTAATAATTTCACATTGCCAAAGGACTCTCTTTATCCCATTGAATTAGGGTATGATTATAAAAGAGAAAGTTGTTCACGAATTAACAATTGAATTTCTATTATTTGGTGTATTCGTTCCGCATGTGACGCTTCCATTCTTTCGCGAATAACACCCAGAATATAGAAAATTAGATCACAGCCGTGCATTCTTTTATCTAATTTCCCTTGGTATAATTGGAATAGGTGGAAACAGAGCTAAGTTAAACTAATAAAGGACAAATATAATTCGCTCCGGAAATCCTTGTCCAAAGAAACTTTCGAACAGTTCTTTCAAGCCCTTTCAAGACCCTGTTGAAGCTCCTCTTGAAATCCCTATTGGCTCGAAGCCCTTTCGTTGTAGAAAATTTTTATCACATTTTTTGTATTTTCGGCAAAGTGTTCCATGTTGGACATGAGACATGAAGCGAAATTTTTCCAAAAGGGCATGTTTTTTGGTAGGCGAGTCGGCATGACGAGTTCTACAGCATGGACTGCCACAGAGGATCCTTCCGGGTTCGAAAAGGGTTTAGGTATGAATGATGCACACTGCATTTCCAACTACATGTGACCTCCATTGCGTGCCGAAGACATGTCTCGAAATGCAGCCTGGGTTGCATTTTGATCCAGTTTTGGCCGGAATTTCGGGCTCAGGGTTGAAGGTCGTTGCGGGCTCATAGGCGTATCCAGATTCAGCATTCTTTTTTATTTTGCCGTTGTGTAGCTCGAGAGCTTTTTCCGTCACATGGTCAAAGGCCATCTATCAAAGAGCCTCGCGCCCACGCTTGCGTGCCCCGGAGCCTGACCTAGCTAGAATTATTCTAGTCTAACGGAGTCAAAAGTTTTAACGACAATTGTTTCCTTTGCTGGCAGTTGATTTGTATGGACTGCTTCAAGTGAGTGTCCATCAAATCAAAACAGTGAACGGGTAGGCCAAGACTTGTTTTCCATGGAACGTCGCGTTGGTTGTACGATACCTTACACGACGCTCATACTTGCTTGGTTTACAGGGGATTGTCGGCGAATCGTCTAACATGTTGTGTTTTTGAAAACCGTATTTGGGGAGAACAATTCGGGCATTGCAACGCAAACTATTTTTCAACATGTGCAATCTACTGGTCAGTGTTTTTTCATGGGCTGCAACAGTCCCTGGAACACTTTGTGGAAACCTGCCCGACAGTGTCCATGTCCGTCACTGCCAGCACAAGAAACTTCGGGACATCCACGTTCCCGTGAATTGCATGCTGCCACGGCCTTGGTACGGCATGAGAGTGTGGTCGCAAGTGTTTAAAGTATAAAAGCCGGAGTCGCAGCATCACGGACGCTCGCGAGGTCGACCAGGCACACGACCTACATTGTTTACGTTCCAATGTCCATTGTGCAGGCATGGATTGACTGGACATTTCCTATTGCCATTGCATGGATGTCGTTGCAGATGCTTTGGCCTGTCACGTTCTTCTTTTTCACAAGCGCACAGGCCGGGTGTTTCGTCGTTTTTGCTGTCAATGATAGCCAATGCTGGAATGTCAAGGATGCCGTCGAAGCAGCTTTGGTGGAAGGTTTGGCGCTGAAGTATGCGGCGCATGCATGCTGTCTTTCGTGGGGTTTTAGGACATCGCACTTCTGAGTATGCAACTGAGACCTCGAACAACCTGCAAGCGCTCCTCCCGGGATACACTCTTTAAGCCGGGAGCTTGCGGTAGCTGTGTGGCCCGGTGTCCGAAATCGCGATGCAGAGCCCGAGCAACAGTGGAGTGTGGCACCATGAACGAGGTGTTGCCTCATCCCTGCCGCCACTGACCTTGGTCGGCAAGCACTTTGACCGCGTGGTCAGGGCTGCAGATCCGACTAGCGAGGAGTGGGCCGTGAGCTTAGCACAGCATGGAAAGTATCAAGCAGATGGCAGTCGCAATTGGAACTGTTTGCCTGGAGGTGGTTTTCTTCTGTGTGAGCTGGCTTGATGAGTGCCAGGACGCGGTTTCCTTGTTAGCACTGCTTTGCTTTCACGAGCGGCTCAAGGCGTTGAGCTTAAGGGTTTTCATTTGACAGGACCTGCGAGACGGCTTCAGGAGCATCGCGCCAAAAGGGATAGTTCCGAAAGCCGAGCCCTGCTCTTCCCAAGCCTCTATTTGTGAATCCTCAGCCATTTTCAACGACACTTACTGTTTGGGATCATGGCAACCACAGCCAGCAGAGAAAGCCACACTGCTTGCCCAGAAGCACACGAACAGATTTGAGACTAGACGATTCATTGCTTGACATCTTTGTAGGCAGGAGAGCATCTTTCCTTCAGTTGCTTCCGTATGGGGTGTGGCTGTACGAAGGACGGAATTCGTATCGAGACAATGCTTTCGAAAGCTTCCAAGCTGCAAGGCCTCTGCCGTGGCACCAGGACATGGAGCGGCCTCAACGAGGACAGGGGCCTGGACTCTTGGTTGGAGGGCACTGCGTTTTCTTTCGCAGGACCGTCAACGTGGGCGCTCGCTTCTTCGGCGGCCGCCCTTCCTTGGCAGAGCTACGAAAGCTCAACGTCCCAGGTGTGCCGTCGAATGCCGCTGCCAGTCCGTCAGCATTGTCATTGTTGGATGTGTGGACGTGTGAGAGGCGTCGACGAGCAGGTCGGAGGACAGAAGAAGGCGAGGACAGCCCTCTGTCGACGCTACGGCCATCTACGGCCTTTCTGTCTTTGCGCGTGTGAGAAAAAATCTTGGAGGCGTTTGGAGGTGATGCATCATCAGGCAGAGGCCTTCGGTCTGGAGCAAGTTGCCTCGATGTGTTGGAGAAGAGCTCCTTGGTGTAGATGGGAAAGTCGCTATGTCAATGTTGTATGCCCCCGCGGCATGCAAGGATCTGTGCTCGTCGCCGTGAGATCACGGCCTTTCAATGAGCGAGAGAAAGCAGCTTCGTCGGGCGACTGTCTGTCCTTCCAGGAACGCTGTCGGCGAGTGCAATCACAGCTGCTCACATTTTAATGCTTTTTGCTTCTTGCGAGGAGGAAACTGGCATGACACTCCATCGGGAGGATGACAAAGACTATCGCTTCGCCTTTGACTGCGTGATGCGCCCGGAAACAGAGCAACGCGAGGTGTATGTCCAAAGCTCAGGGCAGTTCGGAGTTGTCGCAAGTGCTGTTGGACAACTGTTGGACATTGTCCACGTGTTCAACAGGCATAACAGGCTTGAACATCGCAAGTGACCGCCTCAGGACAGAACAGCGAGACCACTCCTGCACAAAGTGTTGGAAGGATCGGGCCCCGGCAAGGCAATTGAGTCACTGTCAGCACAGCCGCCTTTCACCCGAGGCTACAACGGATGCCTGTTCGCATATGGGCAGACGGGATCTGGCAAGACCTTCACGATGCAGGGGACTTCCGACCAGAAAGGCATCATTCCAACTCTTTGTACGGAGCTCTTCGGCGAGATCAAGGACGGGCTTTCGCACTCTGCGTCTGCGGAATTCATGGCCCATTTGTTGAGGAGTGCGCCGAGAAGCGCAACATCACCGTTGTCTGTAGTGTGCTTGAGATTTACAACGAGAAGGTGAGGGACCTGTCGGTCGACTCCAGTGACGACCTGTCTATCCGAGAGGACACTGCAGAAGGCCTCGTCGCTTGCACCAGAAATTGGGTTTTAATCCGACTGGTAGGTCGCAGCGGCACGGGTGGCAGCTGGTAATTACTTGCTTTGCTGCTCAACCCCCCAGAGCGAAGGGTTTATTCCGAGGGGTTTCTGGTGCCGTACGCTCGCATGGCCTTGCCGTCGAGGTGGGAAAGGCATTCATGTCGAGGGCTTGACGGAGGCCTGGAACCCACCATGCGACGTCGCAACTGCAAACGTGCCGCGCTGTGTGACGAGTAGTGAATAGCGGCGAATAGCGGCTCTATGAGGTGCAGGTCCGCAGCTGTGAGGAAGTCTTGGACTGCATCGCCAAGGCTCTCCGGCCTCCCTCCCCTCACTCTCTTTTGCTCTCTTTGCTCTTTTTGTTGCTCTCTTTGCTCTCTCTCTTTGCTCGCTTTTGCCCTCTTTTGCTCGCTTTTGCTCTCTTTTGCTTGCTTTGCTCACTTAGTCTCGCGCATTTTTCTTGGCTCTGTTTCGGCTCTCTTTTGCTCTCTTTTGCTCTCTTTGCTCTCTGTGCTCTCTTTGCTCTCTCTGCTCTCTCTGTGCTCTCTCTGCTCTCTCTCTCTCTCTCGCGCTCGATATCTCTCTCTCTCTCTCTCTCTCTCTCTCTCTCTCTCTCTCTCGCTCTCTCGCTCTCTCTCGAAATGGATTCGTTTTGTGTGCAGCCAGGCTCAGCAAAGGAGGGCCGTGGGCAAGACCAACATGAATGAGCACAGCTCCAGATGCTTGGCCTAGCAGCCTAGCATTGCTACGCATCCTCTGTTCCAATGTCCGCAGCTTCCCACCTGGTGTCTTCAAATCTGTCTTAGCTCGTGCTTCCCAGAACAAATGAGGATCTCACTCAGTAGTGACCCTGCGGATCGGCGCCTACGACTGCGACGACGTGGATGGTGCAACGTTTGCTGGCCGAATTTGCGCACGTACTTGTTCCGGAGTGCTGTAACATATGCAGGTCCAGGTTCCGGGTATTCCCAGTACGGCACTGCACAAAGATTGCACTGCTCAAGGCATATTTGCAACGCACTTTCGACGGAGTCAGTGAAGCTGTGGCGGGATGTGCTGTACTAGGTCAATTCCCACCGTAAGGCACTTCTTGCCAGCACCTGCTTGAGGCTGACTGTTTCGAAGCTGCATTTGATTGACCTCGCGGGCAGTGAGCGGCAAAAAGCCACAGGCTGGAAGATGCTTGTCCTTCCCATGGATGCCACAGGGGGTGTCGCGCGTGCAGCTGCGTCTGGTGTTCAGAGTCGAGAAGCTGCACAAAAATTTGCTAGCCATTGCCGTTATGAGAGCGGAAGGATTCACAAGGTCGGAGCCAACAAAAGGTTCGTGTGGTCTAGTATAGGTTCCAGGACGGTTCAGGCTTACTACCCAAGACGCTTGTGCAGGTGCCACTGGAGACCGTCTGAAGGAAGGCAGAGCTTGCTGATTGCCACGACGATGCTACCACGACTGACTCTGCTGCTACTTCTGCCACTACTACTGCTACATCGACAACTACCATTACTACCACTACTGTGAACACCATGTTTTACGGCTGGACCTAGCTTTTCGGGTCAAGGGATTCATGTCACGTGAGGTGGCCTTTGCCTCCTCGCTTTCCTCTGTCTCTCTCGCGTCAGTCGTTTGGCACCTCCTCTCCACTCCTCCCTCTGCCTTTCTCGATTCTTGTCCGGTCTGTCCGGTGCCCGAATCGGTTGACTTAGGTAGTTTCTTCTTTGGGGTGGGTGTAGGAGTGTTGCTGCTTCCGGCAGTCGAGGCCCTCATCTTGCTGCGTGGCCTCTGTCTTCGTCGGCTTGCCTCAGCCTTCCATAGCCCCGGCTACTATCGGGTCGTCTGCTCAGGCCCCTCTTAGGGTTTAGGCCCTTCCCCCTAGGTGCTAGGACCCGTGTCGCCTGCTCTCCGGAGCTGCCCTTGCCCCTAGGGGTCTTTCGGTTTAGGCCCTAACCCCTGCATGCAAGCTCGCCTTGAAAGGTTGGAGGCTGAAGTCCGTTCATTGCGGCAGGAAGTTCAAGAGCTTCGGGCACTCCTAGGTGCTCCCGGCAACGACGACTACGAGTTGGTGGAAAGTGTGCAGGGGCCTTACAGACGGCCTGCTGACCCTGCCGCTTCTGTGCCTGTGCATTCGTTGTCTAGTGGGTCTACTCCGCGTTTTCAGGTTAGGCATTCAGTGCAATCGCCGGGGGAAACCGATCCCTTGCAGGGCCCGCCGGCCCCTGGTCCCGAGGACTTCCCTAGGACCCAGCGCGACGAGGCCTGCCGACAGATTGGCCGCTTTCTTTCGAATTGCCTTCACGGGCGCCATCGCGGAGCCTCCGGCCGAGACTTGTTGCCTCAGGGTTCTCGCTTCTGGCTGGTGTGCCGGACGGTGGACGGGCGTGAGCTCCGGCCTCCCGTTGCCCACTCCACCTTCGCGGCCGCGAAGCCTCTCTGCAAGGTCGGGGCTGAGTGCCGGGAAGCTGTGTTTATTGGGCTGCCTAGCCGTGCTGACGTTGACGCTGTCTGTGTTGCTGCTGGGCTGGAGCCTGCCCACTATCAATGAGTGCCGAGGTTGGAGAGCCTGCCGAGGCTCCCGCTCAGGAAGACGAAGCCACGCTGGATGGGGCCCCTTTGGGGCTTCGGGATTATCTAGTTGCTGCCTCCGAGGACGAGGCCGATTATCCTGTGGGGACCTTCACCTTCCCTACGCCTTCAAGTCTGAGCTCGTGCGAGATTGTGTTGGTAACAGAGCATGCTGGGCGACTCCTCGTCGTAGTACCTCATGCCGTTTGGGCTCGGCGTGTGAAAGATCGAACCATCCCAGCTACTTGTTTGACCAAGGTCAGCTTGTTGGACGTTGCCGCCACCACGCTGGACGACCGGTCTCAGGCCTTGAGTGCACCAGGCTTGAGAGTGTGGGCTGGACTCCTCGATCCCGCGCTCGAGCCCTTTTGCAGAAGACCCAGCTCAGCATGTTTTCGGGTTGGACGCGTTAGGTGCAAACATGTTTCCTCATGGGCCCTCCCTCACGGCAGCCTGCACCGATGCTTTCGTTTTTCAATCAGCCGAAAGTGCTCCTGCCGAGGATCCCCTCGCCCTTCGAGTCGACAGGCTCGAGGGGGCTATCTCCAAGATTGCTGCAGGTGTCAAAGCCTTGGTGGCTCGGGATTCCGTGCCAGTGGCCTCAGCTGCACCTCCCTCTTTAGGAGCTACCCCCAAAGCCAAGAGCAAGGTAGGCAAGAAAGGCCCCGCCCCAGTGCCCGATCCACATTTGGATCCCGGGGTGGCTCGTGCTGCACTAGACTCGGGGGTCAGCCTAGCCTCCCTTGCCGAGATGGACAAGCTGATGCGAGACAGTGGGGCGCCCAATGTGAACCGCCGGGCCCCTCGAGCCACCAAGGCTTCTGTGCTCTCAGAGAGCGAGGACGAGGGAGGCGAAGAGCACCAAGGTGCCGCGGCTCAACCCGAGGAGGGCACCGATCCCATCTCCACCGCGATCTCACAGCTTACGCGGGTGGTGGAGGCTCTGGCTCAAGACAAGATCAAGAAGCCCACCAACGGATTGGACAAAGTTCTAGACAGCTCCGGCGGCGCTTCTGGGTCAGCCGACTTAGCGACTTCCTCACGCAGGACGGGCGCAGCCCGCCGTGCCCTGAAAAGTGCACTCGTGGACAATCCCGAAGTTTTGAGCCGATCGGTGGAAGAATTGATGAGAGAAGATTTGCATGCGTTGCAAACTCCAGGCTTTCAGGGCAAGGTGTCGGCCAGAGCATGGTTGGAGCACAGGTCCCGAATAGGACCTTATCAGACCATGGCGCGGACCGCTTGGTCCGCCGCTGGCGCACTAGACTGCCTAAGGCAGAACAAGCCAGCCGAGGCCGAGGCTCGATTATCCCTCCTCCTGGTAGCCCTGGACCAGGTTGCAATCGACAGAGGGAATTGGGCAATGGGTTCCGAAATATTGCTAGAAACTCCTGTTCCGATGCATTCGTTCCGATCTCACGAGCTTCGGGATCCAGAGCAGGTGTTTTCGAGAATTTTGGACCCACGGCTAGCCGAGCTCGCTCTCCATTACCTCAAGGATCAGAGCGACTTTTTAGAAAAACGGGCGAAGCTTGCCCGCCGCCCCAACACGGGCGCTCAGGTCACCGAGGAGAACGACGAACAGCCCGAGAAGCCACCGCCTCGTCTTCGTCCCGGTGCCAAGCCGAAGCCCAAACCCAAGAACGAGTGAAGCCCCCCACGGCTCGCCCTGACCCCCCTCAGCCTCGCGTGCCCGGCTCGCGAGCTCCTTCTGTTTCTGTGCCAGGCTTTTGGACTGCCCTTCCTTCGTGGGTTCTTCGAGGCTTGCCGTTTCTTCCGCAGCCTGCTTCGCGGTGACAACCACCCCGCGCCTACGTCCCAGGTTTGGCCTTGTCCCCTCCCTTACCCTGAGGTTTTCCGACGGGGGTCCCACGGGTCTTCCCTTTGGAGGAAGAAGCAGACTTGCTTAGTTGTGGGTTTGCTTTCTTGGCTCCACCTTGGTTCTCCTGCTACGGCGCCTCCTGGACTTGGCCTTAGCACTCCTCTGTCGCCTAAACAATGGCGCATGGTGAGAGTGTTAGAGCACCTCGCTTGGGATAGTGAAGTTTTTCCACGCATCGATGCCCCTGCTATGGGCCGCGCTGCTAGCAAAGTTGAGGATCAAGATGAGGTCCTTGCGGCTCTTGCTCGGGCCGCTGCGAGTCTTGAGGGCTCTTGTAACTATATCGCCCCCGACCGCGCCTTTTATAATCTTTCGGCTGCGTCGGGTTCTCTTTCCACGGCAGATGATACTTCTTTTTCCTCTGTCTTTTCTGCTCACGACTCGTCTGTCTCTCGCCCAGCGCCGGGTTTCAAACCTGCGCGGGCTCATCGTAACCGAGTCCAACGGCGCGGCCTTGCCGTTGGACTCGGTTTTGAAGCCGTTGGAGCCGTCATGGAAGGCGCTCCTGCGGCGACCCCCGTGGCCTCCGGGCCTCGCTTGGACTTTGGGCACCACCTTGGGGTTTTGACTCGTTCCGAGGCTGTGCCAGCCAAGCCCATACAAGTCGACCGGCTCCGCTTTTTGGGGTCTCCTCCTTTTGCTCCTGAGGGGTACCTGGATCAGCATACTTTGTCGCGGTTTCTGCGTCCTTTTGACTACGCTGACAAGCCCGACATCCAGAAGCGCCCTCCGCCACGTGTTCAGGTTCTCGCTTCGAGGGCCGAACGCCTTGCCCTTTTTAAGAAGCTCGCGGAGACCGGCCGGCTTCGTCCGGTGAAGGTCGAGCCTTCGAGACTGCCCTACGCGGCGGGTCTCTTCTCGGTCATCAAAGACCTTTCTCGGGATAGACTCATCCTTGATTCGCGACCCGCGAATGTTCTCGAACATCCCCCTGCTTTCTGGACAAGTTCGCTTTCTTCGCCGGCGGCTTTACTCCAGATCGTCTTGGAAGCTGGTGAGATGCTTCGCGTGAGTACCGCGGATCTTCGAGATTATTTTTATTATTTCAACATCCCTCAACAACGACTCGAGAGAAATGTGATCAAGGGCAGTCTGTCGTTGAGTGAGGCGACTCAGCTGTTCGGTTTCGACTGTGCCCCTTTTGTCTCTGACGACGACCGAGTCCATGTCGGGCTCTCCACTCTGGCCATGGGCGACTCGTCCGCGTGCGAATTCGCACAGGGGAGTCATCTTGCCGTCTTGTACCACCACGGTGCTCTCGATGGGCACGAACTTCTGCTGCCGACGTTTCCCCCCCCCCGTGGGCTCCTCTCGATCGGCGTCGTCGTCGACGACTTGGTGATACTTGAACGATGCCTTGATCCAAGTCTCCTTGACCCGCAGGCTGACGCTCTTCCTCAGGGCCGGGAGCACTCCCTCGGCGGAGACCGCCTGCGTCACGCTCATGCGGCGTATGCTTCGGCGGGACTTGAGTCCAACCTGGATAAGGGCGCCCGGGACGTCTCTCGCATGAAATTCTGGGGGGCAGACCTCGATGGCCGCCGAGGTCTGCGGTCTGCTCCGTACCAACCCCGCGCGAGTGTGGCCCTTGGCTTTCATAACGGCTCGGGTTGCTACGCTCGGGCTTGTTACGCACAAGCTCCTTCAGAGTCTTGTCGGGTCGTGGACTTCAGTCTTTCTGCTGCGTCGCCGGTGTCTCAGCCTGTTTGAGCTTTGCTTTGCCGCGCTGCGTGGAACCGAGCCTTCATGCGTCATCCGGTTGAGCCCTAGCCTGTGTGACGAGCTTTGGTCTTGGGTCTTGATCTGCCCGGTGTGTGTTGCTAACCTCCGGGCCCAGGTGCTTGACGTTTTCTACGCCACTGATGCCTCTGACGTGTTGTTGGCTGCTGTCTCTGCTCCCTTACCACCAGGGGTTGCCAAGGAAGCCTATAGACATTGTCTTGTTAAGGGCGCTTGGTCCAGGCTCCTCCCTCAGTCTCAGGCCCTGCTGCGCTCCAGGGAGCTTCTTTCTGAGGACCTTGAGCTTCCGGAGGGAGAGAGTTTTACTCCTCACCCTTTCTGGCGGAAGCTTGCTAGGAGCCTGCAGTTCTCCACGTGTTGGGTTCAGGAAGGCCGCCGGTCTCAGCACATCAACTTGAAGGAGCTAAAGGCTTACTTGGCTCTGGAGCGTTCCGTTGCTTCCCGGTGTTCTTCGGTGAGGATTCTGTGCGGATTGGATAGTCAAGTTGCCCTCGCAGCGTTGCTCAAGGGCCGTTCTGCGTCACCGGCCCTTAACTCCCTCTTGCGCCGCTCGCTGCCTGGCATGCTCGGGTCTGATCTGTACGCTGGGCTCTCCTTTCTCAAGTCGGAAGAAAATAGTGCCGATGATCCTACCCGTGACCGCGTGCCTCGCTCTCCTTCGGAGCCTCTCCCTGACTGGTTTGTTCCGTTGGCCCGCGGGGACACCGCCCCGCTCGACGCTTGGCTTTCCCGACAGGCTGACCTCCTTGCTGCTAGGGAGTCCGAGCCCTTTCGGCCTGAGGACCTTGAACGTCGGCTTCCCCCTCGCTCGAGCACCCCCGCTGGCTCTACCCAGCCACCTGGCTTCAACCTTGACCCCTCTTTCGCACCTCGGCTCCCGCCTGCCCGTGTTGGACTTAAGAGTGGCCGAGCTGCCCGAGCTAGGAAGAAGCGCTTGCTCAACATCATGGCTTTGCACCGCACCGCCTTGGATTTGCGGCCTCCACCCGGGTTGACTTTGAACCCTCGACTGCGAGGAATCATCACGCTGGCCTCGCTCCCGCGCCGGTGGTTCCTTCCAGCCACTGGGCCCCTGGATTTCAGTCTTCGTGGTGCCTTGGACTTTATGTCTGCGGACGCTAGCTTTGGACGAGCCTTGATCCGTGTGGGCTCGCCCTGGGTTCTCTCTCTGACGCCAGCCCTAGCTCCCGACTTGAATCCCTACTCTCCTTTCACTGCGGAGCTTCTTCAACTGTGTGCAGATGGGGACTTGTGTGCGTGCTTTAGCTTTAGCCTAGTCGGAGAGACCTTGTCTGTAGCCTGGCAGCCTGCCATCCGTGATAGCCGGAATCCTTTGGGAAAGCCTCACTTGCCCCAAGGCGTCTTTGACAGGGTCGTTCGGGATAATAGGCTGGCTAAGGTTGTGTCCGAGGTTGTCGGTTCACTTCAAGCCTCTCCTTCGGTTGCCTTCCCGACTCAAGCTTCCTGTGGTCTCTGCCTGGTTTTGAGGCCTTTGCCAGCCCTCGAAGCTGGTCTGTGTGCAGAGTAGACTTTTGCAGGTTCGGTGCTCGCTGGCGTGGACGCACACGAGTCGCTTGTAATACTGACCTTGCAAGCTCCCACGCCTTTTGCCGCTGCAGCGGTCCGCACCTTAGGCTCAGGGGAAGGGCTCTTGCCTCTGCCTTCGGTTGGCGTGGGAGTTCGGCCCCTAAGGGTTTAGTCCTCGATCTAGCCCTTTCGGTTGCCCGTAAGCTTAGTTGGGTTGGTTCAACTCACCCTGCCTGCCGAGGAGCACCCAGACTGTGTTCCTCTCGAGCTTTGCCTTTGGCATCTGCTATGGCCCGCGGTGTCAACGCCAGGCTAGGAGAAGCCGCCAATCCCGGACCGCGGAAGCCTCAGCAGCGCAACCGAGCCCTCGACTTGGAGTCGCAGCCGCTGTTGGGTAAACAGACTCTTAGTTTAGGTAACAAGGGTTGGTCTGAGTTCTTGTCTTGGTCCGCCTCTCGTCTGTCCTTTGATCCCCTTGACCTGTTTAGCCGTAGTGCGCCCCTGCTCGCCATGGCTCTGTGTGCGTACGGAAACTGGCTTTACTGCTCGGGAGGATCTCTTTACAGCCTCCGGCACACGCTGCTTGCTGCCCAAAGGATGTACGTGGAACTGAGGCCTTACTCCAGGCTGGTCTGGGAACTGATATCCAGATGGGAGCACGCGGAGCCTCCTCAACACCGGACGCCCGTGCCGGAACCAGTGCTCAAGGCGATCGTCAGCTATGCTTGGATGTGTGGTTTCAGGAGCTTCGCTGGCGTGACACTTCTGGCCTACTATGGCCTGGGACGGATAGGCGAGGTTATTCAGTGCAGGCGGAGCGACCTCCTCCTGCCGAGCGATGACCTCTGGGACCAAGGGTCGGCGGCCTTTCTTCTTCGGTTGGGCAGTTCGAAGACTGCCACCAGGGGCCGCCCTCGAATACAGCACCTCAAGATCGTCGACGACACTGCGGTGCTGCTCCTTACTCAGGTCTTCAGTGCCTTGCCGCGCTCGCAGCCTCTGTTCTCGCAGAGTCCTGCCGCCTACAGGTACAGGTGGAACAAAGTGCTGAAAGCCCTGAACCTGGAAGTCGAGGTCCGGCTCACGCCTGGAGGGCTGCGAGGCGGCGGGGCAGTGGAAGCCTATCGACGTGGGCTCCCAGTCTCTGAGATCCAATGGAGGATGCGCTTGAAGCACTTGCACACCCTCGAATTCTATTTGCAAGAACTCGGGGCAGTCTCAGCTTTGGCAAGTTTGAACAGTGCGGCGGCATCACGTGTGCGAGCCGCTGCCATGTGCTTTGACTCCCTGGCCTTTTCTTCGACATAGTTCTGAGAGCCCACTCCGTACTTTCCGTGCAAGCCTGCGGGCACCACGTGCACGCTGGTTCCCAGCTGGCCCTCCTGAGAGGTGGAACGAAGTCGCGAGAGCCCTCTTTGCTGCTGAGTTGTGGCCTTCGGCCCTCCTACAACTGCAGCTTCGGAAGCAAGGGGGCAGCTTGCACAGCCCTCGCTGCCCGACCTCTCATTCTTGTGAGCGGTGCGGAAAACAGCTTACGAGCCGGAGTCTTAGAGGGAAAGCCTGTACAACATAATAATGTTGCTGCTGCTGCTGCTGCTACTACTACTACTACTACTACTACGACTACGACTACGACTGCGATTGCGACTACTGCTACTGCTACTGCTACTGCTACTGCTACTGCTACTGCTACTAGTGCTACGAGTACTACGAGTACTACCAGTACTATTAGTACTACTAGTAGTACTGGATGTACTAGTAGCACTAGTAGTTGTATTCTTGGTAGTAGTACTAGTAGTACGAGAAGTAGTGGTAGGCGTTGTCGTTGCAAGTTGCAAGTTAGTAGTAGCGCAGCAGCTGCAGCAGGGCAGCAGCAGCAGCAGCGGCAGCAGCAGTAGCAGCAGCCATAGCAGCAGCCGCAGCTGCAGCCCGCAGCCGGCGCCGCCAGCAGCAACCAGCAGCAGCAGCTGCCGCCAGCAGCAACCAGCAGGAGCAACCGCCGCTAGCAGCAGCCAGCAGCAGCAGCAGCAGCAGCAGCAGCAGCAGCAGCACTTAGAATAAAACAACAACAAGTACGCCTACAACTGCTGTTGCTAAACTGCTACTGCTACTGCTGCTACTGCTGCTGCTGCTGCTGCTGCTGCTGCTGCTGCTACCCGCGACTAGTATCCTTTAGCAGCTGCTACTGCAGCATAGATGTTACTCTGACGCCGAACGGCATCATTACTAAACTTCTTTGCAATTCCTTTTCTTGCCATAGCGATAGGCACCAGTGTCATTGTCTTCGTCCTTGTCAACCGCATCTGGGTTATCGATTTACTCGTCGTCGTCATTGACATTAGTCTTGAATATTTTGTAGATTAAACAGCCGTTGCCGTTTGCATTATCGTCGGAGTCGTCAAAACTGTCCGATCTGTGCAGCAGATGTGTGATGTCACACCGAGACGGGACGGCGGTGAGACTGCCAGGTGCTCAGATTAACTTATCCCTCTCTGCACTCGGCAACGTCATCAATGCCTTGACCGAGCGAACTTCTGGAGGCTTTGCTTACATATGCATGTCTTGCAATCGGATAGAGTCGCGTTTGATTTCGTGCAGCAGTGACGTATAAGAACAACCACGCCAGGACATTTAGCCGACACCGAAACTTGCAGATTGCAAAGCATGTTTTTCGAGATTGTCGAAACACGGCGAGCGCAGGCACAGTTCCACAAAAGTTACTACCAACAGCATTAGCAGTAATGGCTCTCGCTCTCGCTCTCCCTCCCTCTCTTTCTCTCTCTCTCTCTCTCTCTATATATATATATAGATATATATATCTATCTGTCTGTCTATCTCTCCGTCTGTCTGTCTACCTATCTATCTATCTATCTATCTATCTATCTATATGTATA